AAAGCCTAATCAACTCCATTAATTACGAATAACTTATTCTTTTTTTAATTAAATATCTTAATTAAATTAAATCAAAATTTTAAATTAAGACCAAATCTCAGTCGTCTCATCACTATTTTGAGTTCAATATTTTTTGGGTTCACTATTTTCACTAGTTTTGAGTTCACTATTTTTTATATATACAACTCATTTTCATTAGTTTTGAATCCGTTTTTGTCATTTATTTCGATCATACACTATACATTGATTTAAATTAAATATTTTTATATCTTTTTTTATTATTTTGTTCAATGTTAATCTAGGTTTACCCCAATTTCTAATACCATTAAGAGAGATTATCTCACTTTTTTCGAATAGATACCTCTATCGGCCTCCGTTGAACATGATCAAATCATCTTAATCTATTTTCTCTTAACGTATCCTCAATTGGAGCTTCTCCTATTATTTCTCCAATACGGTCATTTCTTATTCTTTCTTTTTAAGTTTTTCTATACATCCACCTTAACATTCTCATTTCCGCTATACTCATTTTGTTACTATGTTGTTTCTTAATTACCCAATATTTTGTCACATACAACATTATTGTCCTTATAGTTGTTCGATAAAACTTACCTTTCAAATTTATTAGTATCCTCCTATCACATAATATACTAGAGACTTTTCTCCATTTAAGTCAACCGACGTTAATTTTATAAGTTATATCATCTTCAATATCTCCCTCATTTTTAATGATCGATCCTAGATATCTAAATTGTTTACTAATTTATATTTCTTAATTTTCAATCTTAATTTTTTCACTATGTCTATTTCTTTTTATTACTAAAATTACATTGCATATATTCAACCTTATTTCTAATTATTTAAAACTTTTTCGACTCGAACGTCTCTCTCAAAAATTTTAACTTATTGTTAATCCTCATTCGAGTTTCATTTACTAATATAATATTACCTGCAAATAGCATATACCGTGGAACATCATCTTGAATGTGTCCAGTGAGTTCATCCATAATTAGGGCGAATGGGTATGGATCTTTGGTATAATCTCACCCTAATTGAAAATTCTTTATTTTCTTCCACAAAAAGACCTAATTGTAGTCATAGTCTCGTCATACATGTCCTTTATCACCTCAATATACTTATTAATCACTCATTTTCTCTCAAGTACCCTTCATATTATATTTTTAAATACTTTATCATACGTCTTTTTCTCGATCTATAAATACCATATAAAGATTTTTTTTCTTCTTTTTATACTTTTCTATGAGTGTCCTCAATAAATATATAGCCTCCATAATTAATCTACCCCGCATAAATTCAAACTCATTTTTCAACACTGTCGTCTAAACTTTTAAGCGCTATTCAATGATCATTTTCCATAATTTTATTGTATGACTCATCGTCCCATCTTTTCTCTCATGTTTTTTTAGGGATAATTACACTCAGACTCTCTAAAAATTTTCATTTATTCACTTAGGCCCCCTAAAATTTGTTCCTTAATTGCTCAGACCCCTTAATAAGATTCTCTGAGTTTTGTACGCACAAAACACTTAGATCCCTACTCTTATTGTCCGTTAGTATATTCATTAGTAAATTATACATATACTCACTGAAGTTTATAAGCGTATAATATTTAAACCCCTCAAATTTTAAATTTTATACTTAGACAAAAAATATTTCAATTAAAGATAAAATATCAAATATTTTAAATTGTACAACCAAAAATTCATATTTTATTGTATCATTTATTAAAATAAAATCAAAAATAAAAATCTATTTTTTCTTAAAAAGTCATAATTAATATACAATTATACTATCTGTTGGAATAAAACTAAAAAATCAAATAAGAAGTCTAAGTCATTTAAAATAGAACATGAATTTTACAACCAAAATTTATGTTATATTATTTTATTTATTTATTTTTCTTAAAAATCATAATTAGTATGCAAAAAATCAAATAAAGTGTCAAATTATATAAACACAAAATCTTCTAACTTTAATTGAAATAATTTGGTCTTTTATACGACCAAATTAAATTCCAATAAATAGTATAATTGTATATTTATGAAATAAAATTATAATAGAACATGAATTTTGATTGTAAAAAAATTTAAAATATTTAATATTCTATTTTTGATTGAAGCATTTTTTATCTAAATATAATATTTTAAACTTGAATAGTTTAAATATTACATACCTACAAACTTCAAGAGTTCTAGATATAATTTACTAAGAGATGTACTGACATTGACGATAAGGATCTAAATGTTACGCAGGTACAAACTTTAAAGGGTATGAGTGTAATATTTTAAATATCAAACGGTGATAAACTTCAAGAATTTCGGTGTAATTCTGCCTTCTTTTTTTTTTTTTTAAATGCCAAAACAAAAAAAGGGAACAAAACATAACAGTAGATTGATCTTTGACGGTATCAATTTAAGAGCTTCCACTGAAAAATTGTACAGGGTGTTTGAACGTATCAATTTCTCTATGTGTATCCATGACTGGAAAATTCAAGATCTCTTCTTCTTGCATGCTGCCAAACCTGAGATCTTAAGACATTCATCTTTATCAATTAAAAATAAAAAATAACAACACCCAGATCTGACCTCAAAAACTTCAATACTATAACGGTGACAAAACATCGAGCATGCGGTTGATGAGAGCATTTTGGAACTGACAGAGGCCATTGATGAATTTGTGGACGTAACAGGATATTTTGAGTACGAAAAAGAGGAAGAGAGATGGATAAGAGAGATAAAAGAGGAAGAAAAGAGAGATTGGGCAGAAAGAGATGATAAAAGACAAATTAGAGAGATACGAAAGAAATAGCAGTAGACAAGATCTCTTTTAGAAGGATACTTTTGTCATTAAAAAAAAATTTAAAATTAGTTTGGACTTAATGACTGACTTTTTTTAAGCCCATGGACTTAAAGCCTTACAAGAATTGTGCCCGGACCTATTGAATTAAATAGTCTAAAGTTTTGCTTTTTGATCAATTTTCACATAAAAATACTATAAAATAGATTTTTTTTTTCTATTTGATTGTATATAGTGTATATACACACATATATGGTGGGGAACTGCATTTGATTGTGTGTGTGTATATATATATAGATATATATCATTTCTGAAACTTGTGGCTACAGGCTGATAGTCATACTGTGATCATCTTTGAAAGCATGTTTTCAGCAAGCTTTGTTTGTTTTCATATGGGTACCTCAAAATAGACTTCCCAAGGTTCGGATGCAGTTGCCTTGCTTGGATTGGTTTCCCCCCCTTCTCTTCTCCCCACAGATCTTGAGCTTCAACTCAATTTATGCTGACCTGTTTGCTTTGGCTTCTGATTGGCCATTATATCAGGGCTCCATAGTTGTGTTACAATGTACTAAAATGACCCAAAAAAAAAAAACACATTTGTGCAATAACATTGTCAATCATGTCCTTTTCAAGCTACTTCAAACCTGAAACATTTTGGTCATTGCCCTAACTGAAACCACATATTTTTCCCTCTGTTAAGCGGTCATTTTGGTCAAAATTTCGTTTCAAAATGCCTGAAATGTTTTCGTTTTAAGGAGATCATAATGAATTAGTGATTAATTCGAAATGTCAATGCTTCGAGATATTTTGGAATGTTTTAACATGTTTCGAAATGTTTTAGCATGTTTCTACCATTTTGATTCATGCTTTTTTGGCAATCATAACATTTTCATGCTTTTTTGGCAATCATAACATTCTCTTTGAGTTTGGAATCATGGATGTACAATGTAGCTCAAGTCTTGCCTAAAGGCTCCTTAAGTGAACTCGCAAGAGAGATAATCTGGGACACAACATACCTAGTTTAGAGGTTAGGAATATATGTCTTTTGATAATAAGCATTGTAGAATAAAGAGTACTTAGAAAGCACAAATACGGATACAGAATATGGGTATGACACGATACAAATACGACAATACGGTAAAAAATCAAAAAATAGAATACGAATATGGGTACTATACATCTACATCTATATATGTATATATTAGAATATTATTATAGCACTAGGGATATGAGGGATTAAGAAATAAAACACGTCCAAACTAAAATAATTTGTTATATACTGTATGATAAGTTTCTGTAATTTAATGCATACATTATTCACAGTACCCTATAATCAGCTTTTTCCCATATTTGAAATGCTCTATGCTAAATAAGAAGCCACATTTTTTTACTCTCGTCCATCTATTGCTTTTTTTTTTTTTCGCACTAATTAGTGAAAAATGATTGCTCTTTGATACTCAACGAGTTTATTCATGGAGGAAACACATTAGTCATTACGGGTATTGTTCTACCATAAATTTATGGTTTGCCTGTTTGCTCTGCGAAACTTATGACTACGCAAACACCCTATACCATGAGAAACGACCATTCAGCATGCCTGACCTTAGCTATTACTGCTAATGTAAATGCTCGCAACCACAAACCACTAGCCATTCCTGGCCTTTATCCAGCTATATAGTAAAAGAAGAGCAGCTAACAAAGAAACACTTAACCAGGTTAGGAAACTACAGGACCATTCCATTTTCTCAGTTTGAGCTCACCTCTAATTTGCAAACACCCTACACTCTACTTCGCTAAACTAATGACTTAGCAAACACCCTATACCTTGAAAACCAATCATTCAGTATGCCTGATTTTTTTCTCGTAGACATGTGGAATGCATGGTATTTTATATCGTTCCTGCTGAAATTGAAGTGCTTAGCTATTACTGCTAATGTAAATGTTTGCAACCGCAAACCGTTCAATTCTACAAGTATAATTGCATTAGATAGTCCGTCCTGCTTGCCTTTTATCTTTTGCCATGAGTTTCATCAAGGCAAACCTTATACAGGTATTCCTTTTTTCTAGAAAATGTTGCTCCAATGGTTGATTTCCTTGGCTATTCTTATTGTTGCTCTCACATGCTTGTTGAATAATCTATTCTACTGGTATTGCTGCTAAAGAGGACTTATTTTCAGAAAAAAATGGACTTGGATAAATCAATTGAAGAGCAGTTCACCAAGCTGCATCCGTGCTTCCCCGTACACACAAGGATTGGAATCGTGGGAGCTGGCCCAAGCGGACTCTCTGCTGCCTATGCACTATGTAAGCTTGGTTACACTAATGTGACTGTCTTGGAGAAGTATCAATCAGCTGGAGGCATGTGTGAATCAGCTGAGATTGAAGGTGTAGTTATATATCTATCTTGTATCTTTTCAAAGTCTTTGCTTTTCACCAAAAAAAAATCATCTTATAATGATAAAGTTGGGATTAAGGAATGATTTGACTTATAAAAAACTCATTTCGCCTATATTGAACAAAAACTTGGAAGAATACCAATAAACGTCAGCAAAAAATTACAATGAAAGTAGGTTGGAGAGTAGTGCATGAAAAATTACAAAAGAAATTCATGTTCATACCATAGGTTGGAGAGTAGTGCATGACAAATTACAAAAGAAATTCATGTTCATACCATTCACAAATAATCAAAACTATCCGCACATTTTGCTGTGTTGACAGATTTTCTGAATCACTGTTTTATGTAAACATGGTCAAGTTAGTTTTCCTATGCTGCATAAAATCAGAATTTCTGTGTAAATAAAAATGAGAACTTGAAGATATTTGTTTGACTGTTCTACGCTTCTCACAGGAAGAATTTACGATTTGGGAGGTCAAGTTCTTGCTGCAAACAGTGCTCCTGCTATATTTCACTTGGCAAAGGAAGTTGGGGCTGAAACAGAGGAGATGGACGCCCACAATTTTGCTATGATTGACAGTTCCACAGGAAAATATAATGACTTGAAAGTGGCAGATGATTATGTGTATGCAATCTCTCTGACCTTGGAACTCCAGGTTAGTTTCTATCAGGGCCATACAGTGATCTCACCCATCTTTATTTCTTTTTTGTGCTTTTGGAACTACAAGTAGTTCTCACCTAGAGGATGGGCCTTGGCACAGCGGTAAAGTTGCTCCATTGACCTAACTGTCAAGGGTTTGGGTTGCAAAAACAGTCTCTTTGCTTAAGGATGCGTAGATTTGACTCACCCAGACCCTGCAGTGGTGGCAGCCTCGTGCACCTTTTTTTAAGTAGTTCTGACATCATGTTATCTACCTATAGGAAAAGGCCAAGGCTTCGGGCAGAATTGGGGTCCATGCTGTCAGTGACATTGCTTCAGATTTGACTCCTGTGTTTCTTGAGGACCATGGATTTAAATCAATTCCTAAATCTGTGGCTTATGGATACACTGCTTCTGGATATGGCTTTGTTCAAGACATGCCTTATGCTTACATTCATGAATTCACCAAGACCTCAATGGCGGGAAAGATTCGGCGCTTCAAAGGAGGTTACACAAGTGTTTGGCAGAAAATAAGTGAAGGGCTACCTATAGAAGTTTGCTGCAATACTGAAGTAATAGCAATCAGACGCAACTCAATTGGTATCAGAGTTGATGTCAAGGATCATAGTGGCGCAAAGCAAGTTGTGGAGTTTGATAAAATCATTATCTCTGGTTCTTTTCCCTTCAACAGTGGAAAGACTTACAGATCACCTTCTTCAAGCACATTAGGTTATTGATGCTCTGAATTTCAACAAACTTTGTTTTCATTTTTCCACAATGTTTAATTCTGATTCCTCTGTGCAGGAGTAGTAAATGAGTTTCTGGACATGAGTGAGCTTGAAAAGGAATTATTCAGTAAAGTAAAAACCATTGATTACTACACCACTGTCTTGAAGATAAAGGGACTGGAGCACATTCCAATGGGTTTCTATTACTTTGGGGAATTCATGGATGATCCAGCGGCAATTGGGCATCCTGTTGCAATGCAGAGATTCTATTCGGACACAAACATTTTCTTGTTTTGGTCATACGGAAACTCTGCAGATATTGGGGGATCAGAGATCAATGAGTTCGCAATCAACATAGTTAAAAGTATGGGGGGTGAAGTAGAGAAAGTAGTTTTACAAAGACGGTTTAAGTATTTTCCTCATGTCAACAGCCAAGGTATCCTTAACAAGTCACTTCAGTACATGCTTCCGGATAATAAACTGTATTATGTATATATAACCTTGTGTGTCCTAATTCCAAAAACAGATATGAAGGATGGGTTCTTTGATAAACTGGAGTTTGAACTACAAGGTCAGCGTAGCACTTACTTTGTTGGTGGGCTCATGGCATTTGAGCTGACAGAGAGAAATGCATCCTATGCCATGGCTCTAGTCTGCAAGAACTTTGCAAAGGACAGTCCAAATTTTCCTTATGTTAAGGTATGAAACTTCAACAACTTTAGATTCATCAATAAATTAGAAAATTTGCATCATAATAGTTTTGAACAGCCTTTGTAGAACAAATTATTTGGCTGATCTGAGGCATGTGATTTGCAGAGGTTGTTTCCATTGCACTCAAATCGTAGGGCCTGGAACTATGAGAAATTAGATGAAATGCCTGGTGTGGAGTTTCCTGATCTTTCTTCCCTTGATGGTTTTCTGAGTCACTGGGGAACTCACAACGTCACACAAAAGAAAATCATCTACACTTGGATTAATGACAAAGGAGAAGCGGTAGATTTGAGGACATACGAAGAACTTCACCGAAATGCTTCTTACATCGCTTATAAGCTCTTGACAAGCCAAAAACCAAATATCAAGTCTGGTGACAGGGTTCTCCTTGTATATGTTCCAGGCCTTGATTTCATTGATGCCTTCTTTGGATGTCTGAGAGCTGGAGTCATACCAGTACCAGCAATTCCTCCCGATCCGTCGCAAAGAAGTGGACAAGCACTACTCCATATAGAGAAAGTTGCTGAAACATGCAATGCATCGGCAATCCTTTCAACATCTGGCTACCACATATCTGTCCGTGCATTCTCTGCAAAGAACATGATATTATCCCTGAAGAACGGAAAACTCTCCGCTCGCTGGCCTGACCTGCCATGGTTACATACCGACTCTTGGATCAAGAACTCTAAAAATCCACTGCATCAAGAAGAGATAGCAAAACAATCTGAACCTTTGCCAGAAGATGTATGCTTTCTGCAATTCACATCAGGCTCAACTGGTGAGCCTAAAGGAGTTATGATCACTCATGGAGGGCTCATTCATAATGTGAAGTTGATGCGAAAGAGATACAAGAGTACATCAAAGACAGTACTTGTAAACTGGCTACCTCAATACCATGACATGGGATTGATTGGAGGACTTTTCACAAGTATGGTGAGTGGTGGATCAGCAATTCTATTTTCGCCAATTAGCTTCATCAAGAATCCCCTCTTATGGCTGCAGACAATCAGCAAATACCGTGCTACTCATAGTGCTGGCCCAAACTTTGCTTTTGAACTCCTTTTGCGAAGATTGGAATCCAAGAAGGATACTGTGCAGAATTTTGACCTGTCCAGCATGGTTTTCCTCATGGTTGCCGCTGAACCAGTGAGATCAAAAACTCTTAAAAGGTTTCTTGAGTTAACTCAACCTTTTGGTCTTTCTCAAGAAGTAATGTCTCCTGGTTATGGCTTGGCGGAGAACTGTGTGTATATAAGCAGTGCATTTGGCGAGGGAAAACCCGTATTGGTAGATTGGCAAGGAAGGGTGTGCTGTGGGTATGTGGATCCAAATGATCCTGATGTTGACGTCAGAATTGTTGACCCAGAAACTGGTAAAATGCATGAAGAATCTGAAAAAGAAGGGGAGATCTGGATTAGTAGTCCAAGTGCTGGAATTGGATACTGGGGCATGGAAGAGTTGAGCAAGAACAGTTTCAGGAATGAGCTTCAGAACAACCCAGGAAAGAAGTACATAAGAACTGGAGACGTGGGGCGGATTATTAGTCAGAAATTATTCATCACTGGTAGGATAAAAGACCTCATCATTGTTGCCGGGCGAAAGATATATTCATCAGATGTTGAAAAGACTGTGGAGAGCTCCTCCGAACTTATACGCCCAGGCTGCTGTGCTGTGGTTGGTGTTCCGAAGGAGATTCTATTGTCAAAAGGGTTATCGGTTCCAGAAAGTTTTGACCAAGTTGGATTAATTGCAATTGCAGAAGTTCGAGAAGATAAGCCTCTTCCAACAAATGTTTTAGAAGAGATTCAAAACTGTGTTGCAGAGGAACATGGCATTATTCTCTCTTCTATTGTATCGGTCAAACCAAGAACCATTAGCAAAACGACATCAGGGAAAATCAAGAGATTCGATTGTCTTAAGCAATTCATTGATGGGACATTGAATGTAGTAAAAGGGCCCGTTCTTGAAGAAAGGCCATTGGCTCGGTCTGTGAGGAAAACATCCCTATCTTCCATCACAAGGAATCTTCATTCAACAAATGCCGGTATTGGCAGAACGGATATTGTAAATTTCTTAAAACAGCTTCTCTCGGAGCAGACTGGAATTTCTACAGCAAACATTTTGACCACTGAGAGCCTGGTATCTTATGGGGTTGATTCAATAGGCGTAGTTCGGGCAGCTCAAAAACTTTCTGTTTTTCTCGGAGTTCCAGTTGGGGCAATTGATATCTTCACAGCAACCTGCATTGAAGACTTGGTGAATTTCGCTGAAAATCTTTTAGCTAAATCTCAACCTCAATTGGCAACCACACCGCCCCATTTTAGTCAAAACAAGGAAAAGCTTGCTGATATGGTATATGAGGTTTCCCAACCTCGCAAGTTGGGAATTTGGCTGTTCCAACTTCTAGCTCTTACTTATGCTTCCTTCTTACTAATATTTCCAGCATATCTATCAATATCTGCTTTTGCAACTATGGTATCTGCTAGTCATACCCTCATAGACAGGACTCCTTGGCTTGGTTATTTGCTTACCTTAGCTTGTGCTCCTCTTGCTTGGGTGCTTTGCATATTCACCACCTGCATTTGTCTTGCTTTATTTGGGAATTCATTTCTGCAACCCAATTATGCCATGAACCTTGAAATTTCCATTTGGTCGATTAATTTCGTTAAATGGTGGGCACTTTACAAGGCTCAAGAAATTTCCTCAAAAGTCCTAGCAGTGCATTTGAGAGGGACAATATTTGTTACTTACTGGTTTAAGATGCTTGGAGCCAGGCTTGGATCTTCTGTTTTGCTTGATACAGTTGATATTACAGACCCATCTCTGGTTTCAATTGGAGATGGAACTGTGATTGCAGAAGGAGCATTGCTTCAGAGTCATGAAGTGAAAAATGGAGTCTTGAGTTTCCACCCCATTAAGATTGGTCGAAATTCTTTTGTTGGTCCTTATGCAGTAGTTCAGAAGGGGAGCACAATGGGGGATGAAGCTGAGATACAGGCCTTGCAGACAAGCGAAGAAGGCAAGACTGGATCTAAGTTTGCCAAGGCTGATAAAATTAGAAAGGTTAGAGATATCAACATTTTCCATGTCATTTTTTCCTCAAAATCTGCTTATTATACTTATACCTCTAAAATCTTAAAAAACAAAAAGCATTATGTTAAGATTTTTTTACATTTATTAAGTTAACATATGATTTTGTCAATAAGAATGTTCATGAAATACATATAGTAGTTCATGAAATTTCATTTGTTAATAAGAATCTTCAACATGCAGTATAAAATATCATTAACTCCAAATCCAGTGTGACTTCTGGTCATCCACCACAAGTGTCCATCTACTGGATAGGGATCAACATATATTTTATCTCAAAACTCTGGGTGTTGGTTGTAAGCACCCAACCTGGCAAGCATTTCAGGTTTATTTTTTCGAAACCCATCCTATGTTGGTCCCTTATGGCCGATTATCAATGACCAACATCACCAAGTTCAGATTATGATAAATCATGTGGTTTAGAAAACTTTTTTCCAGTTTCCTTTCTAAAATAGTTTTCCACGGTGCAATATAAAAAAGGACTAGAAAGCGTCAACCCCACTATACACGTCGGCAATATGGTGTCTTCTTTGTCAGTTTACTCTATTGCAGATGCATTATTTTGTCAAATTGTAGACCATGGCATTTTCAAATATTGTTCCAATTCTAAACCCAAACCTTCTTTGAACTTATCTCTTTCCAATATGGTTTACCTAACACAATGTGAATTATTGAATATGGATATTTATATAAATTTATGAATCTCATGTGATTTCTTTGCTAATAATCATGCATTTGCAAAGTAAACTGTCACTGGGTTATCAAAGCTTACAGTTATACAGACATAAAAGGCAGAAATCTTTAAATTTACCTTCACCTTCGACATTTTCTACATGGTTGCAGGGCAACATAGTACAAGAGCTGGCGATTCAACCAAATGAGATACATGATCAGTCCCTTAACCACTTGTTGGGTATCTACATGGTTGGTTTCATCAGCAGTCTATCTGCAGCTATTGCTTACTTCATCTACCTTTGGCTATCTCAGGAGTCTCATTCCCTTCAACACTTTGGGCTTGTTTGCATCTGTGGAGCCTTTCACTGGTTTCCATTCACCATAGTTGCTTATGTGATTATGTGCGACAGTGCCCCATCAAGCCCAATCAACTTTGCCTTTTCGATTGCCATCTCTTACTTAGCTCATGGCCTTATATACATCGTGCTCACCTGCAGCTTGACCTATGTTCTTTCAAAAATGCAAGATACCAACAAAAGGCATCTTAAAACCTGGCTACGACATCGACTTACCATTGCCTGCCATCTACGATTTGCGAAGTTTCTTTCAGGAACAGAAACTTTCTGCATTTATCTTCGCCTTTTGGGGGCAAAAATTGGCCGACACTGTTCTATTAGAGCCATTAACCCTGTTTCAGACCCACAACTGATTTCAATTGCTGATGGTGTCCACCTAGGTGACTTTAGCCGAATTATCCCGGGATTCTATACACCAGGTGGCTTTTTGTGTGGACAAGTTGAGGTAAAGGAGAACTCGGTTGTCGGAAGTCAGAGTCTAATTCTCCCTGGTTCTGTTATTGAGAAGGATGTCATTCTTGGCGCACTCTCAGTTGCTCCCATGAGTTCAATTCTTCAAAGGGGTGGTGTTTATGTTGGGTCTCAATCTCCAGTTATGGTTAAAAACACCTTGCACTTTTTGGATGATCGAATAGAGGAAATGGACATGAAATATAAAAAGGTACTTGGAAATCTTGCTGCAAACTTTGCTGCGACGACCCTCAAAGTAAAATCAAGATACTTCCATCGAATTGGTGCTACTGGGAAGGGATTTCTAAAGCTTTACGATGATATATCAGGCTTTCCAGATCACAAGATCTTCTGTCGAGGGAAGAGCTATGCCATTATTCTCCGGCACAGCAATTGCTTAAGTTCTGATGATGATGCTAGAATTGATCCACGTGGTGCAGCAATTAGGATCCTTTCGAATGAGAGTGATAACAATACTCCGTTACTTGATCTAACACTAAAGACAGGCAAGGCATTTCATGCTCGTAGCATAGGCGACTTTGCGACATGGCTTGTATGTGGCGTTGCTGCACGAGAAGAGCATGTTAAACATGCCCCACATGTGCGAGAAGCAATGTGGGACTCCCTTCGACGAGCTGACTCATATGCTGAGTTGCATTATTATTCAAATATCTGCAGGCTATTTAGATTCAATGATGGACAGGAAATGTATGTTAAATTCAAATTAAGGCCTTTCGATGGAAAGATCAGTGAGGATTCCGGTAAGGTGGAGCCTATGGGTATACTTCCACCAGAAACTGGTGCAATTCCAAGAGATGAGAATGACACCCGCCCACTACTTTTCCTTGATGAAGATTTCCAACGCCGCGTGAAGTCTCCGGCCAGGGCTCGTTACGTTCTTCAAGTGCAAATCAGACCTGTCCCGAAGGATGAAGACGTGTGTGAAATTGCACTTGACTGCACCAAGCCGTGGGATGAAACTGAATTTCCACATATTGAGGTGGGAGAGATAACTATTGATCAAATTCTCATCAAAGAAGAGTCTGAAGAGCTGGAGTTTAATCCATTTTTCAGATGCCACGAAGTGGATGTCATCCGAGCTACATCGTGTTCCCAAAGTGCTTCGCTTGATCATGGTCGTTCTTTAGTTTATGCCATATGCCAGCATTTGCGGAATAAAAAGCCACTCCCAGAGGCATGGAGGATCTTCCTAGATCAATCCGACGTAAAGCTAGACCTTTCTGGCTGTCCAATGGCAGCAGCATTAGAGAAAAGAGACACTAACAAGGTGACATTGGCAAGGCCATGGCATAGAACCTTATGGTTAGTGACTGCTCAGCCATTGCTACAAACAACTCTGCCATATTTTCTCATGGGGTTAGTAGTCTTTGCTCCTCTGAACTGGGTTTTCATCATGAAAGAAATCAAAAAGTTCCATTTGCATTGGTTGCTCTCTTTGTTCTGGGTTTATTCAGGCTTTTCAGCTGGACTAGTCTGTGTTGTGGCCAAAAGGGTTTTGGTGGGAAAGAAGAAAGATGGCGAAACAATGCAGATTTGGAGTGAAGGAATATTTATGGACACTATATGGCAGGCAATAAGGACATTGGTTGGGGAATATTTCATGGAAATGACAAGTGGGTCAGTTATGTATGGCATTTGGATAAAACTTATGGGTTCAGAGATTGATTGGGACAGAGGGGTCTATGTGGACAGCATGGGAGCTGTGTTAAATCCTGAAATGGTAAGGATCGAGAGGCATGGATGTGTGGGAAGAGAAGCTTTGTTGTTTGGGCACATATATGAAGGTGGAGGGAAAGTCAAGTATGGGAAAATCAGGATTGGAGAGGGGGGATTTGTGGGGAGCAGAGCTGTAGCCATGCCTGGGGTGATTGTGGAGAGAGAGGGAAGTCTAGGTGCCCTTTCACTTGCCATGAAAGAAGAGATTGTCAACTGAAGCTTAGGTTCGAGTTGTATTTTATCGGTTTTTCGGTCTTTCAACTTATTATGATTATGTAAATATGTAATGCTTCAGTTCTCCATCTTATTCATACATTGTTGCCCCCAGTAATGTCCAGACCCAAAGTCCATTTCAAAAGTATGTGTGGAGATAGGACAAAGTCTCAGCGTTGATGACCTCTAGTCAATTTCAGAAGTTCGTATCAGATATCCCAAAGTCTCAACGATGACGAGGATCAACAAATCAAATAATATTTCTATTTCAATTTTTGCCACTTCTTCCCCTTCCTTTTTTGAGCTTGTATTTGGGTTTCCAGAGGCAAGCAAAAAGTGTGGAAAAGACGTGTGCATGCACGAGGTCTCTCCTTGGGAGAGAAAGAGACTAGTTTATGAGTATAATTTAGGTCTTATACTTGCAGAAGAGTAATCAATTGCAAAAAAAACAAAATCATAGAAGGAACTTTCGGGCGAGTCTATTGATACAAGTAAATGGATTGTGTTGTCACAATGTTTCATTTCTATAACACGCCAGGTATCTACAAATAACTACTGCAGGAATCTGAAGACAAATATGGGACTGTGGAATTCAATGAAGTCATTTTCAGCTTCTACTTCAAGAGATGGTATACATATAGGTTCTCTAGGTTCCTCATTCACTCCTCTTTGTGTTGCATATTCCAATGCCATTTCATGGTCCACCTGCAAATATACATTCAGAAATGGAAACCTCAGCACTTTCAACCCATGTTTTGATTTCATTGACTCAACATAATATTGCACAAGTAAGAAGGCAATGCAGTGGAATGTGCAATAAAATAAATTTGGAAGTACTTTCGAAGTACAACCCACATGGATTGGTTTTGGAGTCAGAACAACAGACAATGTATGAATGCACGTCCTAAGGTCAAATTCTCCTAAATCCTCCTAACCAGATATCTGCTAAGAGGGGTAATGCGTTAAAATAACTTGCTAGAATCACTTGGCTCCTGTGCCTTGTAGCCGTAGAAGGAGATAACATAATCCTTAACCAACTTCACAACAAGCATTAAGTCTTGGCATGTGCAATAACAAAACTTTCTGACTCGTATAAAGCACCAGTACCATTGCTCCGTGCAAGGTTTTCAGAAATTAAAAGACTATCTAGGATGGAAGACATGGCACACATGACACAAAGCTATTTAGTAGGAGAGCGCAAGATACACCGCAAGAGAGTTTCAGAATTTGGGTAGGTCTGAATATGATTAAGAATCAGCTTGGCCTGAGAATTTTAAAACAGGCATCCATGTTTCACAGCGTCCATGAAGATTATGATGCTTTGGTTGCATTTAACCTTTCCTTGAACTGACTTTCAAATTTCAAAGCTTGACTTATGGGTTGGGTCTCGACCTATATGTTTCTTAGGAAGGGAAAATATGTCACTACAACCACATAGAATATATCATGCTATCTAGAATGTAGACAAGATCATGCTTCTAAGTATCAATCGATACCATACGACTGGACCGAGTTGTATCCAACTTGACATATTAGAACGATGCATGTTTCAAGTCACTATGAGTCTCACTCGTTCTGTGCTCTCGAACAATTCAAAGAATTTATTTGAATCATCGTTCTTCAGCACCACTACACTGTTCTGCAACACTGACATGACGCGAATCTCATGTCATCTCTAACCTCTTGGTTTATCTACCATTTAGTGCGTATCATCTGATACAGTCAATGCATCTCAGTGACCTGAGTTGATGGCCCCACAACCTTTAATCATGAATTACATTGTACAGTCCATGAAACAACTTTTATCGTGTTCCAACAGAATCTACAACATCAATATAGGATTATCAATATCAAGCAATTATTATTGGGATTTAATGGAGGACCGCCTTTACGTGGCAAAGAAGTGACACCTCTTAGTATGCAGACCCCAGCTGCCACTTGTTTGATGCCAATCCATCTAGAATCCTTCAACTGACTGACCTCCGCAGGAAAAAATAACCAGAGGCTAGGACCACTTTTAAGTATTATGAAAAGATAAACTGAGGAGCTCACCTGTTCGACATGCTCAGCAAGTTTTTCTCTCAGTGTGTCTTTTGTAATTAAACGAGCAGAAACTTTCTTTAGTAGTTCCGCATCATCGGTCTCATATCGTTTCTTCTTTGCTGCGTGCATGTTGGACATTTCTTTCAGAACATCATATATAGCACCTGTAGCATCAGGAAGGTACCTGCCAACCAATAGAATGTGGATTTGAGTTTCTTCAGTTGACCAAGAATTTTATTGGCTCATGGATATCATAAACAAACTATTGTTTTGACTGACTTGCTCAAATTTCGTTTCCTCTCCTGCTGTTCACGAGCCTGAATTCTTTTCACTATTTTGGACTTGAGCTGTACGCAGCACTGTTTGATAGAAGTCTGGACATGTAATTCTGTAAGTTAACGTGTAATTTTAATCATGGAAACCCAAACTTGAACAGACAAATACCAACCTTGACTGCAGAAGCTATCTCACTTATATCATCACCAATATATTCCTTTCCAGTTCCTTTGAAAGGAATTTTTGTGCTCACAATGCTCACAAAGATGCCAACCTTATCTTGTGTCTGGTTGATTTTGTAAGTGTTCCAACTGAAAGACAATATGATAAAGGTTACTATTGTTCATGATTTGTATCCTGTTCTTTCTCCACAAGTGCCAAGGCAGCCATTCTTAGGCATGGAAAGCAGAAAAATTTAGAAGTTTTAAAAATTTAGAAGTTTTAAGAATATAACCACAAAAAAGAGAGTATAACAGAGAGCACTCGATTTCACTATATATGTCGTACTTGATTCTCTTCAGAGCACTCCTGGTGACAACATCAGCACCTTGCTCAAACAGAAGCGGAATTCGGTTTGCAAATCGGAAAATATTCAAACCCTAAATATGAGCAGAGAATGAGTTATTACAAGAAATAATGACACTGGAACTGCATCATTATGACTAGCTTTCTACACCACAAGCACAGAGTCGAGCAATATGGCATAGCTAAGAAACAAGAAGCAACTAGAAAGAAGCCTATTTTGGATCAATAATCTCTCAGAACTATCAGTGTCAATTACAAACAAATCCTCATATAAGTTAGACCATGCTTCACAAGTAGGCAAGTAACATCTCACCCTGAAGAGAGTAATAGCTTGTGTTTCAGGAAAAAAACGTTGCAAAAAAGAATGAAAAGAAAAGAAAAAAGGAAGAAACACTGCCACCTTTTTAATCAGTTAATTATACAGAAAATCAGAAACCGATGCCTCTACCATGTCTATAAGTTCAATCCATATTTGTTCAACAAGTTATACATCTGAATGCATGTGAGAGTCTAGATGAGCACACTCACCAATTCAAAAGTTGCACTGACCCATTGTGGTCAAGTCATATCCACCACCCTATGATTTGATTACAGGTCAGGGGTTCAACTTAGATGTTGTAAACCAAAGTCCTAAATGGTACCCCCAAAAAAAAATTGAAGACCAATTTTCAAATCTCTCTACATGCCTTATGTAATTGATGACACACTACTTGCAAACAAACAAAATATTGACAGCATAGATAATTATAATTCATATGTAAATTGTGAAGAGATTGACAACATAGACTTTTATGATTCAAATATAAAGTATACTCACTATGTAAACAGAAAAATTTACAAGGCAACAAGATACTACAATTGGTTCCAAAAGAGCATATTGTGCTTCTTTCCTTTTCCATGCTTTTAGTCCAGAGGGTTCAAGTACCCCATCATGAAAAAAATTACAAAAAACAATAAAATTGACAGAAGTAAGAACTCCCAAATTAAATGTGGAGTAACCACCTCTTAACCAGAAAAGGGCAAAAAAAAAAACTTACTTGCTTGACATCTTTTCCACCCACACTAACTCCAGCTTCCACAATGAATGGGTGGCCTTCAAATACTTGAGGACTACGTATATAGAGTGTTGAATTATTCATAGATATCCAACACAAATCAAATCAAATTCCAAAAGCATCCTATACATCTCAGATAGTTTGAAATTATGAAAACAGCATGTCTAGATATCTTAGATACCATATACAACCTTCCTGAATAAGTTGCAACCATGTCTGGATGTAGCTCCTTTATAATTCCAAGGCGAAGATTGTATTCCCCAGCAGGGCTAAGACACTGAAAAAAAAACTAATTACTGATGAGCCAAACTAGAGAAGAATATGCAAATGGATACAAGCAAAAATCATAATACAATACCATAGAATGGATGATTTAAAAAATTTAATTCAAACAAAAGTAGTTAAACACGAGCCACTTACATCACCACTAGGGTCATCGAACTTGGCTTGGCGAAACAACTGGTGAATGCGAACTATTTGCTGTGAGACTAGAGATTTAACAGGCATTTTTGGGCTAAAATCTGGACCCATTTCTCCTAAAACATGAGAGAATCATTTGGGAACAAATCAGTGACAGCATCTTGCAGTGCTACAAGTATAGACACAATTAAAGTTTCCAATTCTATTCAGAACTGGTCAACTCTATTTAGTACGGAATAAAATGAATTGGTCAAAGTTCAGAAATATCTAAAAAGATGTTTCACCCGGCCATAGGCCCCCACCTCATCAACATCACACTCATGCAAGTAATATGGTACCAACTATAGAAAGTCAAACCCTGCCCCAGGTGATTATACCACCATTGCATACTATCATGGACATAATTGTCCATAAAGCTGTAGAAAAGAGACACATAGCGTTTTCACTTCTTTCTATGCTATTTTCAGTCTAAAAGTAATGAAAACCAGACAGCTAACAACTACCAACATGGGAAATAAGTTGGGACTTGGGATCTTCAAGGATCAACTGCAATTATAATTTAACACAATTCAGGTCAGCCAATAATTGTGGTAGAACTCCATAACCTCAGCTTAGTCAATGAATGAAACTTCCTCCAAAAATAAAATAAAAGAATAATATCTACCTTCTTAATTTTGCCTAATTTTCTCCCACATTCTTTTCTATATTATTTTATAAGTATATAAAATGGCAACTGATATGTTAAAGTCTATAAAGTAAAGGACAGCAGGTTTGTAGGTTTATTTTCAGAATGCATCACAAAAATGTTAAAGTTCTAATTCCACAAACCATATTGGAGACAACTAGCCACAAAAAATAATCATTTGCTACTGAAGGAGTAAGAAAGCAAGTTCTGTCAAGCAGGAAACATGGCCACAATGAGCAGCAAACCATAGAAACTTATCGAACATTTATATTTGAAAAAAGTGCAGGCATATTCTATCCTTTCATAGTCAAAATCACAATTTTCTTGGCACTCTCTTCCATGATAAAAAAAATTCAAAGGACATGATAATCAACCATTATTAGTGATCTGAACAATGATATGCATCATGGCATAAGAAGTAGCTGCTGAAAGGCTGCTATGTAGAACAGCTCACTAATGTGTGGATGTTGCAGGCATTCGGTCAAACAATCATGATATATTATTCATGTGATGGTTAAATATCATTCAACTATCCTATGTTCTCCTCGATCGTTTCTGTTTTCTCTGCTTTCTCCCTTCTCCCCTTTGACTTAATATAGTCACACCATTGATGTTTTCATTCTCTCTTGTACCTTCCTTCTCCCCCAGATTAATACCATGACACCACAGAAATGCCACCTTGAATGGAAGCACAGGTAACACTAATCATAATGTGACTTTAGGTCCCTATGGATACCTAAACAAAATATCTATTATAAAAGGAGCAAATATTTTTGACGTTTCTCCAATTTCTTGTTTCTCCTTCTCTCTTCTTCATTTCAAGTCATCAGAATCTGAGATCTACAAACTGCTAATCTGTCTGTTTAAGAGCTAAGAAAACTTTCAATATCTCTGGCACAATATGTTATCTGAGAGGAAGGACCAAGAGGACTCTAATGGTAGGAATTGTAAAATTGTTATTTGTTTATCAAAACTAAAATGTGGAAGCATCATCCAAGTCACAGAAAAATCACCCCTAGATTTAGTTGGCTTTTTATGAAACACATTGCAGGCCAAAGTGCTGATAGTGTCTTATAACTTTTTTTTGAAAGGACACGATAGTTTTGTCTTAAATTACTGCCGCTATAGATTCCGTTCTAATTGAGGAAAATTACGGCAGGCACTACTAATTGGGGAATTGGCATGTAATAATAGTGTCTATATCAATTGACAAGAAAAATCACTTGACAAGAAACAAATCTTTGTTATGTTTGATTAATTTTTCACAACTTACTTCAGATAGTAATTTTTTTAACATGCATCCCCAAGGATGGATAACAATCAGTTGTGTTCTTACCAATCAAACGCTCAGCAAAGGATTTTCCTATGTTCACGAATTCATGCTGAAGAAACTGCAAAAGGTTCTGCTTTGAAGTTTCCGCAATAAGACGTTTGATGAGTAGCAGATCAACAGCTGATGGATGGTACTTTGTCTCAAGAGGAACTGGTGGCATTATATCCGTTCTTCTGGCAAATCTTATAGTGACATTTTTACTTCATAAAAAAGATAAATGGTAGTTAGTTATGCATAAAGTAAAATACTGGACGGTTTTTATTTTTGTGTGTGTGTGTGTGTGTGTGAGAGAGAGAGAGAGAGAGAGAGAGAGAGAGAGAGAGAGAGTACTCTGATGCATCTGACACAAATCTGAAAAGAAATTGAGCATAGGGAGTGATAACAGCCATTTGACGCATATAATGCAATATCTTGGACTGCAAAAGAAACAGTCATAACCAAGGAATATATTGCAACATCAGCAAGCTATCTGAAAACCTTCATGAAATGTGATTGCAGTGCATACATAAATGTTTCAGTTTAATTGACAATAGCAGAGCCCAAACTCATACTCTATCGTATGGCTGGGGCAATTAGATGCTACATACGCGGTAAGTTGTCCAATTTCCCTCAATAACAACTTGGATTTCAGCTCCATGCCACTGTTCCTTGTTGCCCCGTTTTTCATGCAGATGAATGTGAGGAATGTTCCTAAAAAGTAAAAGAATCATTACTAATAAACTATAAGAAAGAAGGATTGAGGCATGGCCCTTAAACACTAGACTACATGTATGTATAATGTAAAAATAGTCAGTTCTGAAATAACAGTTTCACATCATACCGATGAATATCTATATCCAGCCTGCAGAATGACATATAATTCTGTCCCTTCATTGACGAGGAGATCTCAATAGGAAGTCCTGTACTCATCTTGGACCAAATCAATGCCTGCATAAGTCATAAAAGGGATCTGATTTGCAGGCATATTATAACAATATTCCAGGTCCGGCTCCGGCTCCAGCTCCAGCTCCATGGTTAATCATATTATCAATTGGTCTATAAACAGGGGTATAAAAACATGCATAGCTAGTCTATGGTGCAGTTTTCTATCTGGAACATCTCAAACAGCTTTGCAGGCACAATTTTTTGTTACGAAGAATGCTTTGTGAAAGAAAATTGGATATGCACTGAATTATTGCAAGGTGAAATCCTTCATTTGCAACTATATTGTATTAAGGACTATCAGTAACCAACGGAATCTGCATATAATGATATTTTGGTAGATTTAGATTGAAATATTACCATTTTTGCACCGAGTCCAAATTTTCCACGGGTCTGCTTCAAGCCATATTTTGTCCCAGACAGAACTGCATGATTAAATACTCTTAATACAAGCTAGTTGCATAACTGTATACTCTCACAATTAGATTACGTCACAATTCTAAAACAGTCAAAACGCCTCATTCTTAACATCTCTATATGCCAAAGCCTCATTCCTAACACTTTTCAATGCCACATGAAGTTGGCATGTCTGTTTCCAGGGTCACATGGTCAAACATGTGCGGGAAAATATCAAATGGAAACCAGATCTAGCAAGTCAATTTCATACCTCGTCCAAACATATTTGGAATGTCATCATGTGGCATTCCTCTTCCATTATCCTACAACAGAAACAAAGTGCAACCATGGGAGTCAGCTTACCAACAATTGTTGACATTTGCAAACATCCAATGACACTTAGACGAATTAGACATGAAAACTATTATAATGCTCATAAAATAAAATAAAAAGTAAAAGAAGGTTGAGATAGAAATAAGTCACACCTTACAAGTCACCCTGTAAAATGAGGCCTCACCTCGACCTTTAATGGCCTTTACAACCAACGGCTCTTTCGCTTTCTTCCCATGTGCAGCATTCTTTGCTTGAATTTCTTGATTACGGGCTTCTTTGGCGAGTCGTTTCTGAAATCAAAGAAAAGGAACACATCAAAGCAAATTCGATAAAACTTGAAGACTAGGGCGGAGCCACGACTTCTTCATAGTGAGGACAACCATTTGAAGACAATGATCGGACGACCATAAGTAATACGCGATGTGCCACACAAATAAATAGCTAATAGGCTTGTCAATGGTCAGAGTTTGATGGAATTTTGATTGATCCGAATTCAATTTAAAAACTTGATTCGAATTCATTCTAACTATCCAACGAACTTAATTCCTACACTTCATATTCGAATCCTTTTAAAAAATAAAAGTCGATCTAATTCAAATAATTAAATTAGAGTTGAATTTTAACAAAGAACATGTCAATGTCAACACAATATCATTAAATAATCACTCGATTTTAATTAGCATATCTCTATATTTGTGTATGCATTGATACCAGACCACAATCGAATCTGATTTTGGTATATCCATATTTATATAAATCTGCATCTAAATTTTTTTTTGGCTAACTTTTTAATGGGATCAAATTCTAAATAAAATTTTACATGAATCCCAAAAGTTTTTAAAATTGGAGTGGGGGTAGCCCTCACTCTAAATCCACCACTGCTTGAAGAAACTATTTTAGTTCGGTAAACAATACGTGTAATCTTAGGGTTTTTCACTTTAAGCCATTAATCTCAAGCTCAAATTGACTGAGTGATGAGGACTATTGAGTTTTGTTCCATGTTTTTGGTATCCCAGTTTCTCAAGCAACCAAATGACCTGCATGATATTTCTTACGTGGGATACTTTGATGGATTAACTGTATACAGGTGCATCCTATGATGTACAGATACTTAATCCAGATCGACATACCTATATCAGAAATCGTATTGGATACGATCCTTGTCAGATACTCAAGGATACGTATCAAATACACATTATACGTAGCCAATAATTAATAAAATATGTAGATACTTTGCAAATACTTCTAAACATAGAACAAGATATACAATTTTTAATTTTAATCTATAACATTTCCTTTCGAGTTTACATACAATACAAAATATCAAAAAAAATCGATTTGACTTTAAAAGCACGAGTGTTTTTTTAAATATTATCTATTATAAAATGTCAAATAAAAAAATGAATTAGTTACATTATAACATTTGAACAAAATACTTGTAAGCAAACCAACTAGTTAAATGTTGGTTTTAATTCCTTTAATTGGTTACGTTTACTTTATGAATATATTATAATAAACGATATTACACATTTTTCAAGTTAAAAATTACCAATTTTGTTTAATATTGTTAAAGAATTACTAAAAATTATAATTTTTAAATTGTTCAATAATGATAAAATATATAATAAATTTTATTACAAATGTATCCCGACCGTACCCGTATCCTATTTGTTTAGGTTTTGTCATATCGCCGTATTCGTATCATACCCGTATTTGTGCTTCCTAAGCTGCATCAGATTATACTCCCCCATGTTTGATTAGAAGTCATTCATTCAGAATTTCTTTCTTACTTTTCCGAGCTAGAACAGCCAACCTGTTCGAACAATTGTTTTACCTATGCAACCCATGAACAAAGTGTTTCTTACATATTCAAACCCAGTTCACAGAACGAAGATTCTTTGTGCAATAGACCTAAGCTATCAATGTAGCAAAAATTAGAATGGAAACAAGTCACACAAACCAAAACAGGCAACATACCAAGCAAGACCACCACAACAAACATTAGACCCAATAACAATCAGAAACTGTGATCAAGTTATATATAGTTAATTGGGCATTCAAATTACTAAAATACGCACCTCACGAGCCTTAGTTGTCTCGAAATCTTCATACAACTCCTCATCAATACGTTCACGATCAACAAGACCAATCATGGAATTAAACTTGCTTCTCCCAATCTCTTCACTTAGCATTCAAGCAATTGAAAACAATTAAACAGATCATCAATCAAAGTTTTTGACTGTAATTATATACTATCTTATCTGTTATTCATAAGTATTATGGATATCCATCACTAGAACAAGCATAAACGCAAATGGCTTACATCGTTATTTCCACTACAGGAAGCTCAGAGATGGACTCTGCAGAATCAAGCGCATTTTCAACCAGCTCTCTCACAGTAGTATAAAGGGATTTCCCTGGCTAAAACCAAAAAAAAAAAAAAAAAAAAAACAATGACTAGAAAATACAATCAAGAAACCATAAACCATAGAAACAACAACACCAACTGCCACTTCAGCACATTTGCTGCCCACTTAAGACGGTCCGAATTTCTCAATTTCTCAATCAAAACACAGTTCTGAATTGGGATAGAGACTTCAAAGTAAATTGAAGATGTATGTGAATTAAATTTTTCCAAATTTTGAAAACTTCCCTAGTAACGGTCAGAATATTTCCTGTAATTCAATACAATAACGGATATTGCCATCCAAGCCTGGTTAAAAGAATCTAATGCAACAAAATATTATATAATCTCAAAAAATTTCATATAAACAAACAGTGTAATTATAGTTCTACGAACAATTGAAGACCCATCAAAAGTTTCACCAACTACAATTCCACATGAGAGATCGCGAAAAGGAATAATTAAGCAACTACGAAACTCACATTGTCAAATCCAGCAATATTCTTGTTCTCTGCAAAGAACTCAGCTGGAGATTCTGCATAAAACCAACAATAAACAATACATAACTCAAGCAATCACACACATGTAGGTATCGTTTGGGGGGGGGGGGGTGTGCATATATGTAATGTTCATTACAGAGAGAGGAAGGGGAGAGAATCTAACTCTGCTTGAGGACGCTTTCTTTGGCTTTTCTTGGGGTTTTTGATTTCGATTTCTTTGCTTCGATTGGAATTTCACTGTTCCCTCCGGTGTCCATGGAAAATGCCCACAAAGATTTCTCTGGAGAATAGGCTAGAGCGAGTGAGTGCAAGCACAGAGAGAGAGAGAGAGAGAGCTCAACCTAGGGCAGGGAGTGGAGAGAGATATGATGTGCTCACCTACATGAAAAACGATGGTTGTGGTAACTTTGTGGATGACTGGATTAAGAAAAGGGTATTTGAATCGAACGACATATAGAACTTGTGAAGGGGCGGACGGACAGTATTAGTAGTACAGTGGGACCAGGTCGGGTGTGCGACGTACCAAAAGATCATAGCGTAACAGCTTCACAATTTCCAAAGACTTCCCGCCAATGTGTTGTACATACTACGGCTGCATTGGTAACCAGCTGTTTCCGTTTTTTTTTTTTTTTTTTGTTTTTAATTTTTATGAAAAAAACATGGTTGAAGAGTATTTTTATTTATTTATTTTTGCCAATCTATTTTGTAAACGAGCCCTATTTTTAAAAACTCCTGCACAGGCGCTTTCAAAAATAGGAAAAAAAATGTAAACACACGCGTGCATTAGCCTCAATTAATGAGGTTATATCTTCGAACCTCATTAACAGCACAAAAGGTATTCTTTTGTTTCAAGTATAAAAATAAATTTTTTTGCCTTTTTGCTTCTCTCATTCGTCTCTGTGTCTTGTGCTTCTCTCATTCATCTCTGTGTCTTGTGCTTCTCTCATTCATCTCTGTGTCTTGTGCTTCTCTCATTCATCTCTCTCTTGCGAAGACAACATAGGAAGGAAGCTCTAATGAAGGAAGCACTGATTTGTCATATTTTCTACTCTTTTCATCTCCATCTCCATCTATCTCTTTCTCTCTCTAACCCCTTTGTGAAATTTTTTTTATTAAACTGTTTGTGTTTGTTATATACATAAATCTATGTATATATGCATATATATACATAAATCTATCTATATATATGCATATATAGTCCTAATTCTATGTATATTTCGGTGGTGGTGGGGGGTGGGTTTCGATGGTTGGATTGGGGTTGCATTTCGATGGTTGTGGTGGTAGATTTTGGTGGTTGTGGTGATTGATTTCAGTGGTGGGATTTCGGTGGGGGTGAGGGGTGGAGGGTGGGTCAGATGGTTTATGCCTCCAGCTGGTATGTTGAAATTAAACTCTGATAGGGCTTCCAAATGTAATCCAGGTCTGGTAGGAGGAGGTGTGATGGTTATAATTGAATGGGGAAGGTTGTTATTGGCAGTTTCTTTCTTTTATGAAGAATGCTCTAACATGGTTGCTGAATTCAGAGCCTTACTGGATGGATTGAAGCTCGTGCAGAGATATGGGTTGTTATCTTATAGCATCATGGTGGAATGTGACTCTGTAGTTCTGGTTAATTCTATTTTGGGTGTTTGTGAGTGTGCCTGGCCTCTTTTGGGTTTTTTGGATAAAATTAAGGAGTTATTGAGCCATAGAGAATTTCAAGTTTCTCATATTTTCAGAGAAGCTAACTGTGTTGCTAATAGATTGGCCAAACATGTTGTGCTGTCCAAGAGAACTATTGATTTTTCTGCTGAGTTGAATGTACCTTTTGAGGTGAAAATTGCTGTAGCACAGGATCTGTGTTGTCTGCCTGTGTTGAGGAGAAGGAGGAAACCTGTGTTTGATGATTATGGTTGATGCTGCTATGTATTATGTATTAGGAAAGGATTGTTTTTACATCCTTGCTGATGCTGACTGAATTTCTAGAAGATTGCTACTGCATTTTTGTTGCTGTTAGATGCTTTCTAGCTCATGCTTATGTTTAGTTTTGCTCTGATTTGGAAGTTGCTGGTGTTGATTTGGCTTTGCTGGAGCTGCTGCCAATTGGTTTGTGAGCTGGAATGGAGTTTTGCCTTCTGGAATTTTGTTTACATAGTTTTGTTTTTGTTTTTATTTTTATTTTTATTAGCAATGCAATCGTTGCATGTAATACATAATATATTTAAATAATATTTATTACTTATGAAAAAAGTGAATTATATGTGTAATTGAATTAAATAATAAATTAAATGTTGAATAATTAATTCATATTTTAATTATTATTGAATTTAATTATTAATTTATTCTATAATTTTTGAGCAATTAATCTATTTTTTATTTAGGTATCTCTTCAATTCTTTTAGGCTTTTGTACATTTAATTATATTATAAAATTATTAATTTTTAATTTATTAAATAGATTGGTTAGATCACTTATAATATTATTATATTATTGCACACAAAAAAATAAATAATAACATATATTTGACTGTAGAATTTAACCAGATAACTATATGTGTTTAATAATTTAACATATATATGACTTTACTTTATCATATAAATATGATAATTGTATGCAACTATACTATTAATAAATGAGTTCCAAAGAATTTAGAAGTTCTTACAAAAGAGTCTAAAATAAGTTAAAAGTTAAATATGTATAAAAAAATAAAAATTAGATGAAAGTATATAGGTGAGTATAATTGACTTTATTATAATAATTAGAATTATAATATAAAATTAATTTTTTTTTGAAGAGACTGATATTTAAAAGTAATATAGATATAAATATAGATTTTGGCAAGTAAAATATATAGTGTTCATTACTAGTAATAGCTTACTGAGGTAATTACGCAAAGAATCCCAATTTGGCCTCTAGCTGCACAGTGGGTTAGTCATGCCAATGTAATTAAATAGTCCAATCGGTGAATTTCTCTAAACTCAAAAAATATGAGGAGAAAAGAGCAATCGTTGAACCAAACCCTAGGTGTGATTTTTGGCGAAAATCAAAGCTCATTCACCACGAATCTTGAATCAAAAAGAAATTGATTGGGCATTGACGACCACTAATGACATCCATCATCCAAATTAGTTGTCATCTAAGTAAAGGACCAAAATACACTATCAAAATAAAATATTTCGATGTCATATTGAAAAGTTGTCATTCTGTCAATTGAGGACAAAACAATAGTATCAGTGAAAAATTTATGACAATAGTGGACAAAATTATAACATTAGTGAAAAATTTATAATAGGAGTGGGCAAAATGACCACAATAGTGAAAAAAATTATAACACCAGTAAAAAATTTATAACAATAATAGACCAAATTACCACAATAGTGGATAAAATTAAAACATTAGTGGAAAATTTACAAAAATAGTGAGCAAAATTACAACATTAATGAAAAATTTGCTACAATAATGGGCAAAATTACTACAATAGTGGGCAAACTTTAATCACCATTTGAAGTACCAAAACTATATTATGTGGGTTTGTGATCGATCTCTAATATATGACTAATCAATCAGTGGAAAAATTACAACATCAGAAAAAAAATTTACAACAGTAGTCAACAAATTTACAATATCAATGAAAAATTTACAATGACAATGGGTAAAATTACAACAGTAGCGAACAAACTTTAACTAATACAATGATAAAAGTACGATTAACACATTTAACCACATTTGACGAGTTGGTACAACATTGGAGGTATATTTACAACAAATGTAGTAAAGTTACTACCTATTAGGGTAAGGTTACAATCATTATGGGTAAAATTACCGTATTTAAAGGTCAATTTGCGAAGATTGTGGATAAATTTACAACATAAATGAGTTAATTTACAACTATTGTAAACAAATTTACAACAACTTTAGTTATTTTACAACAGTTAAGGGTATATTATTCTGCAATAGAGGTGAATTTACAACAAATAAAATAAGATTACTATCTATTATAGTAAGGTTACCACTGTTATGTGTAAAATTACCACAGTTAAAGGTCACATTATAAGGATTATGGGTTAATTTATGACATAACCGAGTTAACCATTGTAGATAAATTTATAACATCTTTGATAAAACTATAACAATTACATTTATTATAGTTTATGATTTAGACACAACAATAATGGAAAAAGTTACAAGAGTATATGCTAAAGTTACCATTGTATTTGTTAAAGTCACAATACATGTGGGTAATATTACTAACTTAAAAATAAATGTACATCAGTTGTGGTATTCTTACCCCAAATGGTGGCAAATTGGCTCTAAATACTACAAACGTCGCCTAAAATCATTGTAATATTACTTTAAAATTGGTAATATCATCCTGAACGGTGGTAATATTACACTAAACAGCAGTAACATTACCTGAATAATGGTAAATTCACCCAAATCATTATAATATCATTCAATTCATCAAACCAACATTCAAATTCTTCAAATTAACATTTAATTAATCAAATTAACACTAAATTAACATTGAATTCATCTAATTAACATTAAAATTCATCCAATTAACATTCAATATCTCAAATTAACATCTCAAATCATCCAATAAACATTCAATTCATTAAATCAACACCAAAGGACAATGCAATTTCGTCCGATTAACACTCAATTACATTCAATTTATCAAATTCACACAAAATTATCATTCAATTCATCAAATTAACATTCAAATTAAACTAGTTGACATTAAATTTATCAAATGAACATTCAAATCATCCAATATAAATTCTATTCCTCAAATTAAAACCAAATTAACATTCAATTTATATTCAAATTCATCACATTAATCCTCAATTCATCAAATTAACATAAAAATCATCCAATAAACATTCAAGTCATCAAATCAACACCAAAGTAATGCAATTTCATCAAATTTATATCAAATTAACAACAAAATTCATCTAATTCAAGTTCACCTAATTAATATTTAATCCACCAAATTTATACCAAATTAACATTTAGTTTCATCCAATTAATATGTCAATTCGTGACCAAAAATTAAAAAAACTTTGTTCTAGAGAGAGAAGCTCTGAATTCTCTCTAGGATTTTTCAAGTTCATGAGTGACACACCAAGTTCATCCCATATTCCACCAAAACCACTCGATTTACGACCTGTTAATCCACCACAAACACAACCCACCTATGCATCTCTCTTCAAACAAACATCCAAAGGAAGAATCTTTACCCAAAATTGACAAACCTATTGTATTTTATGAGGGGGAGCCAAATTTTTACTTCACCAATGAAGAGGTTAAACAATCATGTTTAACTCTTCAATATGCGTTAATAGGCAAGTGTGCCTAAGGTAGACCTAGTCTGGGCGTGGTTCGAGAAGTGATAAGGTCTAAGTGGGGATTGAAGTGTGACTTTGAGATAGGTTCAATAGACCCAAGACATGTGGTGATACATTTTGAAAAACAAGAAGATTATGTGAAGACGTGGTTGAAAGATACTACTATTATTGAGGATTATTTGTTTAGATTCTTTAAATGGTTTCCAGCGTTCGTGCAAGGGATCGAGCCATCCATTGTGCCCATGTGGATATCATTACTTGGATTGCCTCTGAATTTTTTCAAGAAGTCTTTCCTGGAGTTGCTAGTGAAACCCATAGGTAAAGTTTGGGCATATGATCAAGCTACACTTTCGTTATCCAGGCCTGGGGTAGCAAGAGTATGTGTGGAGGTTAATCTTCTTGCAAATAACCTAAATAGAATTTGGATTGATATGGGGGTTGAGGATGCAAGATGGCAGTGGATTGTTTACGAAAGAAACAAGAAATTTTGTAAAAGTTGTAGGAAATAGGGCCATGAAGAGTTTGAATGCAAGAAAAAGAAATCGGTAGAGCAGAAGTTGGTCCTAGATGGAAAGAATCCTGTCTCGGAAGGAAAAAATCTTGTCCCAGTATTAGCAGAAGGAGAAAAGGAAACTTGATCAAGAAAAAAGGAAAACAAGTTCTAATGGCGGAGAAGGATTGGGGGCAGATTCTGTTGTTGGGCAGTGGATTTAGGAAACATTCGGATATTAATGGAGTCCAAAAGGGTATATAGTTCAAAGAAGTATGGAAACCACAATATAAGAGGAAAGACACAGCTGAAAAAGGTAAGGAAGTGGAGGAAGGTATGGCCAAATCTCTTGAAAATCCTACAGTAGAGATTGTAGGGATTACTTCCAAAGAAACCACAATAAATTTGGAAACTGGGAATCCATCGGGCAAGGATGAGCAGAATTCAAAAACAATTGATTCTAAGGCAGATTATGCTTCTCCAAACAAGGTTAACAAAGATGTTGATAATGAAAAAGGTATGGTAGATGTTACAGTAAATGAGTAGTGCATTTCAGATACATTTCTGTTAGATCATCACTTTGAACACCGAAAAAGAGGTGATACTGTTGTGGATGATGTTGTGGGGTTAATATGTAATAAAGCGCCATCGGATAAGGGGTTTTACTCTAATAATGACATAGATTATTGTATTGAAGTTGATTCCCAACATTCAGGTTCTAGTATCGGGGTGAATGAGCAAGTTGAAGAAGTTCAAAGTATCCCCCACATGGGTATGACTACTAGATCCAGGTCTAGCAAAATTTCTCATTCCAATTCTTTAACTAATTAATATTATTTCATGGAATGTGAGAGGAGCAAATTAAGAATCCTCAAGATTAAGGTTGTAAAATTAGTTAAAGCAAAGAATGTTGGTTTGGTTGCTGTTTTGGAGCCTAAATGGATGCCAAATAAATTAAGAAGTCTGCGTCTTAGTCTGGGGTTCTCTTTGTCATTTGCTAATCCTTTAGCAGAGAAATATATATGGGTTCTTTGGGACCATAGGATGCAAGTGGAGGTTTTTTCAGTTCACGAACAAGCTCTTACAGTTAAAGCTTCGTATATGGGCTCCTTGCCTTTTTTTGGTTTCATTTGTCTATGCCAAGTGTGATAATATTTTTCATAGGCCCTTATGGGACCATCTCTCTGCATTGTCAATGTCTACCATGCCATGGATGGTGGTAGGGGATTTCAACGCCATTGTGTCTTCAATGGAGAGGAGAGGAGTTTCACCCCCTAGTTTATCTACTATGCACGAGTTTATTACTTTTATTAATGCAGAGGGCTTACAAGACTGTAGCTACTGTGGAACAAATATCACATGGTGTAACATTCATGAAGGCATGGCTAGAATGTGGCAATGTATTGACAGGGCATTAATGAATGTAGAATGGGGCGAAAGATTTTAGAGTGTAGTTGTGGAGCATGCTGCCAAAGGTTCTTCTAATAACTGTCCACTGATTATCAACAATTCTGAAGATGCAACTCCCTGAAGGATATCCTATTTTAAATTCATGGATATGTGGGTGGAACACTCTGGCTTCCTTCCATTGGTGTAAACTGCTTGGGTGGGTTCTTACTCTACAGATCCCATACAAAATGTGTTTCTCAGGCTCAAGTATCTCAAAACCCATTTAAAAATTTGGAACAAGGAAACATTTGGTAATGTATTTGACAATATCAAGAAGCAAGAGCAACTATTATTGCAAGTAGAGATTGAAATGGAGAATCATAACTCTGTAACAAATATTTCATCAGTGGAAATGGCAAGAATGGAGCTGGACAATGCATTAAGAATAGAAGAGATTTTTGGAGACAAAAAGCTAATGTGCAGTGGAATATTGTGGGGGAAAGAAATACAAGACTATACCATGCCATAGCAAAAGGCAAGTCATCAAGAGACAGAATTCAAAGGATCAAGAACGAGGAGGGTATTTGGGCAGAGGAGGAAGCTCTAATCGCAAATCGTGCCGTGGACTTCTTTTCTAGTCTTTACACTTCAGAACCCCATCATATAGAGGAGGAGCTATTTTCTTTCATCCCTAAGTTGGTCACATAGGAGGACAATCTCATTCTATTGACTTCAATTTCCTTGCAAGAACTGAAGGAAGTAGTCTTTCAAATGCTCATGTATAGTGCCCCAGGTCTGGGTGGTTTCTTAGGTAAGTTTTTTCAAACCACTTGGGATATTATTAAATAGGATCTGTTGGAGGTTGCTAATTTTTTCCTGAAGTGTGGAGTGATTCCTAGATCGGTTAATGTTGCATTGCTGTCTCTTATTCCCAAGATTGAGAAGCCTTCCTCCATTTTAGAATTCGGGCCTATATGTTTACGTAATTTATTATATAAAATCTTCACAAAGTTGTTGGCAGCTAGACTAAGTAATCTACTTCCTAAGCTAATTTTGAAAGAGCAACAAGGTTTCGTCATGGGAAGAAATGTTGCAGATAATGTAGCCCTTGCTCAATTGATCGTTAATGAATTGGATAGGAAAGTGGAAAGTGGTAATGTTATTGTCAAACTTGATATAATGAAAGCGTTTGATCATTTAGACTGGGATTTTCTAAAGCAAACATTGACGAGTTATGACTTTTCAGAAGAGTTTATTCTCATTATCTCTAATTGCCTTAATAACCAGAATATCTCTCTGGTAATTAATGGCGTTAGATATGGATTTTTCCCTAGTTCCAGGGGGTTTAAGGCAAGGGGATCCCCTATCTCCCAGCTTATTTATTCTCACAGAGGAAGTCCTGAATAGAGGTTTAAAACATCATTTTCAGCAAGGTTTGATCAAGAGCTTTCATCTAGGTAGAGGTGCCATTTTGCTTTCACATATGTTATTTGCAGATGATACTTTAACCTTTCTAAAGGCCAAAAAAAATATATGGTTAATATGTTGAAGTTTGTGGGGAGATATGAAGCATCTTCAGGGCAAAAAGTGAACTTGCAAAAAAGCTCATTATATTGTCCCTTAAGAATCCTGTTAGCAAGGAGAAATATATTGTCACAGGTGGCTAATATCCCCATTAAATCTTGTCCAATCACTTACTTGGTTTGTCCTATAATTAATGGGAGAGTAAAACTGCGCTACTTTGAAGATCTTTTGCAAAAGTTTCAAGTTAAGTTGGAGGAATGATATACTAAATTGCTCTTAAATATGGGCAGAATCACTTATCAAGTTAATCTTATAGTCTCTGCCAGTCCATCTTATGTCCTCTCTAGGCCTATTCAAGGGATTCATAGCTAAGTTAAACTCCATGATGGCTTCTTTCCTTTGGTCCAGTAAATCAGAGGTTAAAAAGAGGCACTGGTGTTCTTGGAAATCTATTACATTGCCTAAAAAAGAGGGTGGATTGGGTATTAGAAGGTTTAAAGAGGTGCAACAGTCTTTTAGAATGAAGGAAGTTTGGCATTTGATGAAGGGATCCTCCTTATGGTCATTCAAGCAACTAGTGGGAATAGGAGTTTCAATAAATTTCTGGTGTGATAATTGCACAGGATTTGGGCCACTTATATTGAGAAATTCTATTATGCCTATGCACTTTCCAAAGTTGTCACAGGTCTTGATTAATGAACATTGGGAACTGAACATGGTCTAGAAAGATATAGAAGCCCATCTGCTGCAAGAAATCATATTAGCTGACATTTGCTTGTCTGCTACACCGGATAAACTAGTCTGGAAACACACATCTTTGGGGAATTTATCTGTTAAATCTGCCTGGGAAATACTTAGAGATAGGGGGGATGTTCAAACTCATGCATCCACAGTTTGGAAGCAAAGGGCTCCCCCCAGTGCTCAATTGTTGGGGTGGAAAATTTTGAAGTAGGCTTTACCTATGGACTCTACAGTTCAAGCAATGAGAGTTAATCTAGCAAGTAGATGTGCCCTATGCTGTTCAGAAGTGGATACAGAGAACCATATCTTTATCTCTTGTAAATTTGCTACTTTTATTTAGAAGAAGTTTTCAGCTTTGTTGGGTTTTTAACTTATAACTAATGAACCTCCAATTACAAGATTTATGAGGATTGTTAGAATTTTCAAGCGTTCATCTCTTTTTCACACCTTAATGAGAGGTTTGCCATTGATTATATATTGGTAGCTTTGAAAGGAAAGGTGCAGAAGGCTTTATGAAAATTAAAAACAAATTCCTTCGGTGGTTTTCAGGACAATATTGAATCAATGGAAGCTGCAGGTTCATGTGGTGAAGCCTAAATCAGTTGATTCTCCTCAAGATAAAATGTTGCTTCAGTCACTTAACATATATACAACTAGTTCTGTGGGATACATGCAAAATGGATTAGCTGGTCTTTGCCTCCAAAAGACTTTTCAAAACTAAACATTGATGGTGCATCAAAGGGAAATCTAAGTTTGTCAAGAGGAGGAGTAGCGCTCGGAAATCACTGGGGCCATCTTATCCTTGTAGGATCTTATTACTACGGTCATTGTTCAAATGTGGAGGCTGAAATGAAGGCATTATTGAGTGGATTATTACTGTTACAGGATCATGGATTAGAGGTTTATCCTTTAATTATTGAGTTTGACCAACCAATGGAAAAAGTGACAAGTGACACACTGTAGGGCCAAGTATAAAAAAGAGATTAGAAGTGGAAAATCAGCATTTTCCACTCAATTCCTTTGCCTCCATTGAGAGAGAGAGAGAGAGAGAGAGAGAGAGAGCTCTTCAATCTTCTTCCCATCAAAAGTCAAGAGCCAACAATCAGATCTTCGGGAGCCAAGAACAAAGTCATACTACTAGACAAGGGCTACGCATCAACGCCAATCTCACCCATTTTCCACAATTTTTGGAAATCAAGGGTTTGGGGCTAGGGATTTGAGGAGCTTATTTTGGTCATTCTAAAGGGATTCTCAACTTCGATGCTACAAGAAGTGAGGGTTTCCTTCTATTTAAGATTATTTTCAATTCTAAGTATGTATATGATATGGGTAAGGTTTTATGTAGAATAACTACATACCTACCATATAGCTAGTGTAGCTGGTGGGATGTTTGATGAATCGATGAGCATGCTAGACCAATTCCAATTTGATTTGGGTGTTGAACATGTCAAATATGTGTGATATAAGTAGGCATGTAATGTGTTTACATTTATGCTTTCTAGGTGTTTGATAAAATATCTAAGTGTATTCAAGTATGTTATTTGAGTTTATTAATGCTTATAACATGCTTGATGATATGCTAGAATGTTTATTATGTGCCCAATGCTATAATTGACATTGTGCTTCCAATTAAATTGTAATTGTACATTACATTGCACGTGCATGGGTTAACACTACGTTCTTGGAACATATCATGATTGTAATTGTTGTGCATGAGTTTAATCAATCACCACATATGTGAGTTGATAGGTGGGCCTAGAAAGCTCGGACCAAGATCCAATTGAGCGTCACAAGATATTGCATGAAAATGTGTCAGCAAGAAGGACTAGATTCTCCCTTGAGTGCAAAACTTAAATTTTTAGTTATACACTTTTTAGTGGCGTAATGAGTCCATAAAAGTGTGACAGCATAACATAGAACTGGAGGTGGAATTTCCTTGAGATCTTTTGTCAGCTCGGTAGTCAGTTGGTGGAAGTCCATAAAAGTACCTACCCCATAAAGACACAAAAAGAAATAAATAGTTATTGAGTGTGTATAACTCAATGGCTGGGGCTTGGAATGCCTAGTTCATGACATGACATTACATCATGTGTCGTGCAAGGGAACTCGGAATTGGGTTTGGAGTCGGACATGCATTCATGAAATATTATTCATGGTTGGCATGCTTAGTATCATTTAAATGTTACTTGTGTTATATGCTTGGTAAGTTGAACATGCATTCATATCATATACATTTGGGTTGAGAGTTATTCTCTATAGGAGATACCCTACTAGGCCTCGACTATCCCCTACCATTTCAAATGACCGATGTTAGGAATTGCTTTCATAAGAAGCAAGGGAAGGAGAAACCGTTCTTGCTTGAGTTGAATTTGTTTTATTTGACATTAAAAAAGTAGTGTGGATCCCGGTGCAAGGAAAATTCCTATAGGATAGATCCCAACATCCTCTGTGAAAGAAGCCGAGTTTGGAGCCTTAAATGAAACCATGTCTTTCGAAATGGGAATGAAATACAATGTCTTATCATTATCCAATTCTTATGCCAAACAGTGACTCTTTATGCTATATATGGATAGCACAGTGGAGAAAATGTGCATATTTTGTTTGTGAGTCGGTCCACCACCATCAAGACCCATACTCCCTTTATTGGCAAAGTCGTAATCTATAGAGACACTCTCCCATGGTCTTTGTGGTACAGGCTAGGGCTCAAGAGAGCCCCAGGAGTCTGTCCCACTCTACCTTGTCCCGTTGACACACGAGGACAAAACGCCAACGAGCTCAAACGACGGATCAATAGTTGACTATAGGTGGGTAGTAGTGGAGTCACTAGCCTATCAAGAATAGGAAGAGGCAAATTTCCATCTTCACTATGAGAGTATGTTTGAGGAACAGAGAGTGGAACAACCTTAGAGGGAGGTGGGTGGGCTACAATACAATCAAAAGAATTTTCAAGAAAAGTAACCATTTAGAAAAAAGACTAAGCAAGCTTGGAAGTGGGCTAAGAGGAGGTCAAAGAGTGGAAGAGAGGATCCTCCATGAAAATAACAAGGGTATAGACTCTACGGTGTCAAACATTGACTAGAAGGGGGGTCATAGCAACGATAACCCGTGTAATACTCAACTTTAGAAAGCAGTTCAATGAGATGTGGGTTCGATTCCTGCTATGCCTCGTCCTAGTAGGTGTCTGTGCCATTGGTCTAGCTAAACTTGCTCTAATCTAGTGTGCGTCTGCTCCTATTCAGGCTCACTCAGTAGAAAGCTAACTCTTTTCTCCTACTTTGTATCGGCTTGAATCTTCAACTGGGTTTCGATTTCTAGTAATAAGGGAAAGGGGAGGGAAGCAAAGCTTAGTGAGCTTTATAAGGTTGACCACTGCACATAAGCCAATGTCGAAGAAAGCTCTTTAAGCTTCCTTTCATTCGCTTCACGGGAGCCGCACAACACATAGGTGGAAGTAAGAGGGCCCATATTACCTGCCTAACCCTTTGCTCTATTGGGAACTTTTTTCAGGTACTCACCCTTCCGTAGATGGCCCTCACATGGGTCTTGCTTTATGATAGCGTTGAAGTTGAAGTTTTCATTTTGGATGTATAGATGCTTAGGTCCCATTGTATCTACTTTTACCTTGTATTTTGGTTATGCAAAAACTTGTTTATTCTTTTAAGTAAAAGCTTGTATATTGGGACACTTCATGTATCTATTCTTATGATAAATGTATATTTTTACATTTGAGACTCGTTGATTAATGTTTAATGCTTTAAAATGCTTAAATGTTGGATTGGACTTTGGAATGATCTTTGTGTTAGTCTAGAGTACATGTTGAGTTAGGGTGGAGTTTCCCATAAATAGGAGACTGTCAGAATTTTGTTGGGATTGGTCCGTTGGGATCAATGCCTTGAGTTAACTAACAATACTTAATGGGAAATTAGGACCCCAAAAATTGGGGTGTTACGATATCAATTTGATATAGTACCCTTGTCTAAAATTTCTATATTCATTTTGAAAGTATCTAGGAAGCCAGTGAAGCGTCTATTCACTTTCTCCATTTCTTGAATTTTTTAATTTCTCAAATTTAATTTTCTCATGAATGGTGGTCATTTTAACAAATCAGATTGAAATATTAAGATAGCTAATACATATCATCATGTTTATTTATATTTTAAGTTTGAATTAACCTTATCCTTATTAGGTTGTTTTACCTAACTACTAACTTACTGTTAACCCTATGCATGGCTAAGCAAGATTTTGATGATAACAAACATTCTTGTATTACTAATCATCTTCTTGTGAGTTTGGTTGAAAGTGTTGCACATGTTTGACACAAGAAGATAAATTTTGGATGTTCAATGTGTTATAATATGTATGAAGAACCAAAAGAGAAAATGTGACGATTGAGGATGCAAAGAATGAAGAAAAATGAGCATAGTTAAATAGGGTGATTGAATATGAGAAGATGAACCCACATGAAGAGAATGAGTATCATGGATATAGGTGGATTAAAGTAGTTGATCGAATGAGAAGAGCATAACATGAGAAGCTTCTTCAACAACTTTATCGATTTGATATGCATATGAGGAAAACTTAAAGAGGTTAACGATCATTGTTATATGATCATTATTCAAGTTATAAATGTGATTATGGTGGTTGATTAGAAGAGTTGGAAGATCAAAGAAAAAAAGTAAAAGAAACAAGCCAAGAAGGAAGGATGTTAAAATCAGTTAATTTGACATAGTCTCAGTCATATGGGAATATCTTCTTACATAGATGTCCAATTAACTTGATTCAACTATGGATGAAAAGAAGACTTCAAGATCTACAAGTTTAGTAATTTTGAGATTGAATGTTTTCTAGGTGAAAAAGGGCATGGAAGTTGGAGCTAATGCATTGAAGGCTAATAATCTAAAGTTTTAGATATGTCTTGGTATTTTGGACATAAATTTCTGCTCCGATATCTAAAT